GATGAGACAGAACTAACCAAGAACCCGGAGTGGAGATGTCGCATGAAACACGGCTTGTGACCCTCGTATCGCTCTGTAGACGTGACCCGAGACAAGGAATACGATGACAGTAGAAAGTTAAGCTGCGCAGCCTCCGATACACTGTGCTTTCCCTATACAACTGGGAATGTTCGTCTGCTCTTTTTGACGGACATGTGACGTCTTTCGCGCGGCAACGATCTGACGACGACAACGGCAATGACAACGGCAATGGCCACGAAAATGACAACGGCAATGACAGGTTCTTCGAGACGACTGCGAAGATCTGACGGACGAATCGGCAGTTCTGGCCGTCTGTTTCAACACAACCAACCTGACTTTCGTCACAGCGTCCGGTACGATGATCGCGCGATCGGTTGGACCGATATAGGCGCCACCCAAACGGCACAGTAGTTGTAGTACCGTGGAGAAATAAGTATATATATATATCGTTTGAACACGTGACAAGGCCGGCTTGCCAGCCGATACCCTCCTGTCTAGCACCTCCCGCGTTGCCCCAACCCCCTCTTTCACCGGGCGCCTAGTAGGTCATCCGACGGTTGAAAACTTGGAATGTACGTGGTCGTGATCTATGCATACCTTATGTAAGGTGCGTGATCGAAGGCTCTGTTCTAAGGACCCACGCGTAAAAATTGTACCACTTATATGACTATCACCTTGGTCACCTTTCCCGTTTCAAACCCCAGCTTGTTCTGTGAAAGTTTGGGATGCATTGAAGGGAGACCTGCTTTGCGCGGATGCCAGGAAACAGCAATCTCAACAGACAGCAGCGGCGGCAGCGGCAGCGGCAGCAGCAGCAGTCGAGAGTGTCGGCCGAAATGGGGAGATATTCTCTATGTGCTTCGGAGCGAAAGGAAGGACGATCGTTACTGGAGACGGGCTCGGCCACATCAAGGTGGTGGCCGACAAACGCGACCGTTGTTTCATCTCAACAAGACGTTCGTGATTCAACCCCCACCACCTTCTTTTGAATGATTTTCTTTCAACCCGTTGTACAATGTAGTCACCCACCTGGTTCATCAACCTAGTCATCCCCCCTACAGGTGTACAACCAAGCTAACTACACCGAGCTCAAGAACTACACGTACGCCGAGTGCAAGGGAAAGGCCCACGAAGGCAACGTTCGAGCTCTCATCTTGGTCGAGGAACACTCCCTGCTTATCTCAGCCTCAAGCGATCGATCAATCTCGATCCACGATGAATCGAAGGTGAGGGAGAATGGGTGAACACTATGACGTAACATGCATGCCGATCCGCCATGATTTTCAGCGTGAACACCCATGTCAACCACGAACGAGCATACTCGATGGTGGACTAATGTTGTCTTTTCCCGTGCGAAGGACCGAAAGTTAGACCCCCCCCCCCCTTTGACCGTAGGAACAATGCTCCGTCCTCTCGAGGACACGTGGTCAATGGCCTAATAGCTAAGGCAGACAAAACATGAGGACCCCCCCCCCCCCCCTCCCCCCTTTGCCAGTACAGTTTGTTGTTCCCAAGCTTTTTGTCACCCCGTTTCCTAGTTTGCCTCGTGTAGTTCCTTTCCTCCTCCCCTCAATGGCCTCGCCCCCCTTGCCCAAATACGACAATGCTTGTTTCCCCACAAATTTGTAGCTGCCACGATAGAGACCTGACGCACAAAAAAAGCGAACATGATGTCTTTGAGCAATACTAGACGGCAACGACCTGTCCAGCCCTCCCTGCTCGCCTGCTGTGTCCGTGTCACCTCCAATACGCTTTGCTTAGGGTTATTGCACCACATGTTGTCAAAAAGAAACACCCTGCTATGCTTTAAAAAATCGTAGGTTCATGACCACACATTAAATGGGAAAAGCCATTTTTTCGTAACGATAGTGAGAAAAGTGTCAGAGCAGGTAGAAAGTATCCTCCCAGCCTCCCTTCCTGGGCGTTGCCGGCTGAGCAGCGGGATGGCGGTGCGTTGTTGCGGCGAATCACCAACGCCTCTTGGTCAGAGATCACGGTTCTTCGGTACAGCTCCCACCTAGGTCTCATCGCTTCTGGCAACACCGACGGCTCCATTCAGGTAGTTTTGGTTGCGTCGTCGACACAATAATAGTACAGCAGGTACACAAGTTTTAGAAGATTGTACCCAAGGCAGGCCTATAAGCCAGAGAAAGAGTCTATCCAATGACTTTCTTGTAGCAAGACAAGCGCAGGCAGTTTGGGGAAAACCACACCAAGGTGCGAAGAAGATGTTTCGATAGGTGTACTTGACTTCTAAGGAGTAGGTTCCCGGCTAGCCAGAACACGCGTGGCCGATCGCAATTTACCGACCTGTCGGCGTCAGTGTCAATGCCTTGCGTGCCTCCAGAAGCGCGATGTAATCAATCGTTGTCTCGCACCAGAAACAAGCCCCAATGGCTAAAGCAATCAGGGAGAGAGTCGCATTGGCGCTATAATGCTGAAGAATGGTGGAGGGTTGGCTCGCTTCTCGAGAACGGTCCTGCTCCATGACTCACTCCCCTGTTGCCCCTCCCGTCCCGTCCAATCGGAGACCGACACAAATTTAGAAAGACCCCGTTGTTACGGGCCACCGTTCGTATTTTGTCTCCCATCCTTTCTCCAGCTGTGGAACTTCGAGCAAGCCCGACACGAGGGGTGTTGCGAGGAGCTGCACCAGTACCCGGTAACGTGCCTGGCTTTCCTGGACCCCTTTCCGATACTCCTGTCCGCCGACGCTGCCGGTCACCTGTCGCTGTGGCCTGTTCCACCGGCCAGGGTGGGGCTCAGGTGTGAAATGCAAAGTGCAAAACGCTTGTAGCTGCCGCGATCCACATACATACTCATCGTCGTAGGGTACCGTCAGCACATGGTCTGCCCCGTCCCGCTGAGTCTTCCCCCATTGAAACGTGAACATGAGTCCGCTTCTATGTGGCAGTCGTAGGATACGTTGGATAAGTGTCGCTGTGAGTTAGTTCACTGCCTCGCTTTGTTGACAGACAGCCGACAGACGGAGTGTTTGTTGGTCTGTACTTTGGATTACACAGCGCGGATAAAGGTTGTCGACCTTCGTTCCGATTTCGTCGAAGACTCCAAAACAATTCTCACCAAAGTGCTCCCCCCGGTATGCCAACTCCAAGTCATGTCCATCGCCCATACGACGGATTCAAATTGTTTTTTCCCTACACTCAGTCAGAGGTTTACCGGTCAATCTGCACGGTTCAATGAAGGGGTTGAACCTCACAAGCTGAGTTCAGTTATGACGGGATGACAGACCACCAGACGGTTTAGACTACCGCATGATGAAGAGTTCTACTACAATAGATTCGTTCGACTGTCTTCGTGAGGGGGGTACGAGCCACGCCGCCTTTACCTGCTGGCATTATCGGCGCTGCATATTTTTTCCCGAGTGAGACTGACCGGAGCTATTCTCGATGGCAAGAGCCCCTAGTGCATCGTGTGCCCCCCCCTCCGGTTCTAAATAGCACAATGTCAAGACTGAAAGTGTCTTCATAGACAATATTAATTCGCCCTCCTAGGAACAAAGCATTGTCGCCCGCCCCACCCTCCCCTGGTGTCAAGACCGCACGAATCGCACGACCTCGGGCAACGCTTCTGCCAGAAGGCTCAACTAACCATATGGTAGCGGGGGAGGTTTAGCGGGAGATCGGTCGTTACGTACGGGGTAGTGTGGCGCCCTCCCGAAGCAAAGGGCAGTCAGTCACTCATAATCGACGCACTTGGGAGACGGGGTAAATGGTGCTGGCAAAATATCGGCTCCCCCAACGCCATGTTCTGGTCCTCCGACCCTCTTGTTGGTGGGCTATGACCCCTGCCCCAGGTACAAGCGTATATTCACGTGGATCAACAAACAGCCTGTCTCGGACCGCATGTACGGTGGAGGGGGCCAGGCTGACGGAGAGACACCGGTCGCCGTCACTGCCTTAGAGTGCCAGGTAGGGCACGCCACACTACAGAACGCGCAGCCACGATCAAAGTCCTGTTTTATCGGTGGGGAAATCATCATGGGGTACTTTCGGAGATTTGAGCGTGGGTAGGGTCCAAGTTCTTTCAGTTCGTGAAAGTCGGACCCTCAACTTCTTTCCGACGACTGCACCAATCTCGTGAGTGGTGGCCCAATCCGGAATTCTATGCATGCATTCGTCGAAGGGACGTAGTAAGAGGCTCGTAGCCTTTGCGAACAGGTTGAGGATGGAAAGGCCCGAGAAGGGTCGAGGGTACCTTCGAGCAAGGTGAAAGAAGGGGGGCGCTTGTGCGCTCTGATTTTGTGACGACTTGGTTTGCGACTTGGTCTCCTTCTTGCACCCCCCTTTCCCGGGACCTCGAAGACGAACACGAGAAGCAGGTGAGAACACATTGCTCCCCATTGCTACTGCTTTCCCTGTGTTGTGTGCTACTACTCCCTGTCCCCGTGTGCAGCTAACCAACTGTCCGTACTCTCACACAGGTGGAGATGATATCGGCCTCGATCGCAGCGTCGACAGTCACAGACGACTTGGCGACGCTGTCGTCTGTGCATGACGACGACAGTCTCGAGGGGAGTACCGTCGAGATGTCCGTCCAAGACGAGGACGAAGACGACGTTGACGTCGAGTCAAACGGCGACGACGACAACGACGCCGACGGTGAGGTTGATGCCGCCCGCACTGACCCCCCTGCTGCAGGCGCTGCTAGCTACACGAGGGCGGCCCGAGAACTAGAAAACGGCTGCGAGGATGGTGTACAAAGTCGGCAGCACGGGGCCAACGATGCAGTGGCAACTCCGCTCGAACACGCGAATCCCAAAACCTCTGCAGAGGCAGGGAGGACTCTCGATGTGCCCGAAGGCGGCGGCGGTGGCGAGGATACTGCCGGGATTCTCCCCCATGATGCTGATACGGCTGCAGCGTGAGTGAAAGCAGAGAGCGCTTGCTTGTTTGTTTGCTGCCGGCGAGAAAATGGCGAACAGTCTCGATAGGCCGAGGCCGCTGCTGCTGACACAAGCGGTCGCGGGTTTTTGACCCGGTGGTTGTAGCGACAAAGTGGCAGCGTGAGTGGCAGCCCCCTGCTCCCTTCCCTCTTCGAGTGACGGCGTCTGCTATCAAACCATTTCATCCGAATGCTTCTCGCGGCATTCACTTTGGCGAACGGAAATTTCGTCTCGTCTTCCCACCCAGTGGTCCGGGGGAGAGCAATTATAATAGTGACAGCCGCAAGATGGAACATGCGTCACGAAGCAGAGGTGGCAGTCAGCATGCCTCGGTCTCGTAGTCTATAGGGTTGATTGAACATGGGTTCTGTGGTGTCATCTCTTCTGTCGACCTACGGCCAGCGGCATGCAAACCGCACATTCATGTGCATACCTTAAATGGTGGAAGAATCGCTCATTTCTGCACCGTGCTCGCCCTCAAAAACCAAGGGTGAAAATGAACAATAGCTAAGCGCCACACGAGCGGTACGGGGGGGGGTCAAGGAGAGGAATCGCTACCCTTGCGCCGAGCAATATTGACAACCTCCTGTAGGGATCCCAAGGCCCGGCCGCAAATATGAGCAACAGAGCCTACGGTAGAAAAGGGTGACGACAACGGATCTATAACAGGGATGATGGTCATTAACGTCAAACGCCTCGATTTCATTCCAGGTGGAATGCTTCCGCGGCGAGCTCCAATCCTTCCGGCGGGAGTGGTTCCAGCGATCGCTCATTTCAGGAACGCCTCGCCGCAACACTCCGAAAATACCGGGGGGAACGGCGAAGGTCAGTTGTGCTTGTCTGCGGCGAAGTACAGACCGGTACGGCGACTCGTCCACAACCAGAACAAACACACTGCTAACGGTGTGAGAGAGTAAGGCGGGGGGGCGGTACTTTCTCTGCGCAATAACTCACTCGCTGGGGTAGAGAAAGAGCCGTGCAACATGGAGTGGCACGAAGTGTACACAAGCGCAAACAATAGGCGAAAGAAGAGTCCGTATATGTCTGCGTCCAAATGGGCTAACAGCAAGTTTCCTTCGTGCGGCGTGTTGGTCGAATTTCTGTATCGTATCCCATCAGCTCTTGTCATACAAATAGGTTATCCATGTTGGAAACATTTCACTCTGCTACAGTTACTCTGTTGACGCGTTGATCACGATTGCAAAGAGATTTACTTGCTATATGTGTCTCAAGGTATCGAAGTTTTCCTCCACGTAAACCTCTCTTGTTTCCTAAGACTCACTCGAAAGGTTTGATAACGACCTACTTCGTGTGCCTTGCCCGGTTTGTGTGCGTGCTGCAAAGACACCCCCCCTCGATCGCTCAGAGCCGCGGGGACAGCCAGGAGCGGCAGCAGCGGCGGGTGTTTTGGAACACGGAGATGCTGTCCTACACCGTCTACACGGGAGACGAGTTTGGCAATGTCACCACATGGGACCTCAAGGAAGTAATCATCGGTCTCATACACATGTGAGCGTGATGGTCGCCCCCCCCCCCCCAAACCCCCCCAACATTTTTTTTTAGGGAAAAGGTTTTCCTTTCTACCAAAAAACCTCCACCAAACCCCCCCACCAAAAAAAAAAACATTGTAAAAAAACCGGCTCTTCTTTCT